AAAGTCTGCTGCATACTTTTCTGTAATTGATAGTTTAAGAATACAGTACAAAGATCCATCTCGAGCTATGATTCTTCGATATCGGCATGAATATACATCAAGTGAAGAATACATATCTAATAATAATAAAATTGGAGATGTGTTCGATGGCAATCGATATAAGTCTCTGGTTGCATTAGGCTTATTTTCTGATTATCGAGATGTTGCTTTAATTGCATTAACAGATGGCTACTAGTTATTTAAGGAGAAGCGAAATGACTGCTGGATTGTTTTACTTTTAAATGCAAATCTTCTACCATCTTATAGGGTAAAGAAAGAAAACTTAATTATTACTGCAGTAATTTCAGGACCAAAATCTCCAAAAGACTTTAATAGTTTTCTACAGCCACTGATAGATAAGCTAAAGTAACTTGAAGGTGATATATACAGTAATTTTTGTTTTTTTTTAATTGATGATAAAAAATTAATTCATTTATAATAATAAATTTTTCAGCCGGTGTGACATGTTATGATGCAGTATCACAAGAAACATTTACATTACAAAGCCATATTCTGTCATGGTCAAGTGATATTCCTGCTTTATCCAAAGCCATGTGTCTCTTAGGTCATAATGCTCGAAGTGGATGTCGTTTTTGCTATATAAATGGAGTATATTCTAATATAGCTCGACATATATATTTTCTACTTCAACAGCCACAAGGATATAACAGAACTAATTATAACCCAGAGAATTTACCAATGCGTACTCATATTAGCTATCTTCAAGATATTGAAGCAATAGAAAATGAAATAAGAGGAGCAAGAACTAGAATACAACGTGAACGAGATATAAATGGGCGTAGTATTTTATTAGAGTTGTGTTCAATTGATTTTCCTGCATCATTTTCAATAGATATTATGCATGCACTTTTTGAAAATGTAGCTCCACATATGTTTCGTCATTTTAGTGGTAAATTCTTTAATAATGAAATGCTTAATAATACTGATTATAAGATTTCATTCAGTAATTGGAATAAAATTACAAAGACAATTGAACAAAATCAAAAAATGATGCCAAAGGAATTTGGAAGGCATCCTATTAATATCCAAAAATACCACTCTGCTTTTAAAGCAGAAGATTGGTATAACTGGATAGTTTTATATTCAATTCCACTTCTTCATGACTATTTACCTGAGAGATATATAAATGGGTAGGCAAAATTTGTTAAAGCAACTCAACTTTGTCTTGAACCAGTTATTTCTAAACAAGAACTTGAAGAAATCCAAACACTTTTTGTTGGATTTGTTCGCCACTATGAAAATGAATATTATCAAAGAGATTCTGATAGATTACCAGCAATTCTTATCAGCTTTTATTACCTTTTACATATAATGAAATCAATTCAAGAAACAGGTCCGCCATGGTCAACATGGCAATCCCCAATGGAAAGACTATGTGGGATGTTAATACCTTTAGTTCATTTCAGGCAGCATCCATAAACAAATCTCATAAATCAAATAACCATGTGGACACAATTTGCACACTTGCAATACAATCCTGAATATAATCAGAAAATCTTTAGTGCTTTTCAAAAAGAAACTAAAATTCTACCTCTGGAACGTGCTTTTAGTTTTTCAGCAACTGAAGAGGAATTACATTCACCATCTCAAAAGTATAATATGATAAAGACAGAAGTTCAAAAGGTTAAGCAATACTATGCAACTGCATTAGATTTAATGATGAATGAAATAGGTGAAATTATTGAACATATTCAAAAATATGGCAAGCTGAGAACTAAATCTGAAGCACTAATTGGCTCAAAACTAGTTAACTGTAAAGGAGATGTTGCTCGCAATAACTATTCAATTGCTGCAAAGCTTTTAGTTGACAAAAATGCACACCTACTAAGAGCACATAATGACTTTGAAGAGCGCGAGTTTTATGGTACAGTTTTATACTATTTTGTACATGAATTTAACAATGAGTTATCAATGCTTGCTTTTGTACAGTAGATATGAAGACCAGAAATATTAGGCAATAATATACAATATTTTCATAACTTTGGTGAAACAAGTGTTATCAATGTAACTGCCATTGATCGATGTGTAGGATTCCTTGAAGTAGCAGCAAACAATCATATTATAATTGATAGAGAAAATTGGATTACATCTAGATGATATTCATTCTATTCTTTAAAAAAAAAATTTAGAATTTGGGTGTTATCCGGGTCATATTATTAGATTTCAAAATAAAATTTTGAAAATTTCTGAGCATAGTCTGAGCATTTTCAAACTGAATATAAAATCGAATTATTTTCAAATGTATTCGGAATATTTCTAGAAAATTTCTATTTTATTAAATTTCTAAAATTTAACCAAAATATCATTCGCAATGTAATCGGAATATTTTCAATATAATCAGGCATTTTTAATATAATCAGAAAAAAATTGGAATGTATTGAATAAAATTTTTTTATAAGGATTATGGGTTTTCTAATTTAATTATTTAAGTTAGATTTGTGATTAAATATTGGTTAGAATGTAAGATTAAAATTTGGATTATTATTATTTTAAAATGTGTTTAAAATATTTTATTTTAAACATATTGGAGCTTATCAATAGAAAAGAAGGAAATTTAAAAAAAATTAAAAATTTACTTCATATGCTAAATATGATTTTTTTAGTAAAATAAGTCCAGATTTAACTTTAACTT